TTTTTATCTGAAGTAAGAAGGTTTTTGCACTGGAAGTTCCAGTTCTATTGTGGTCCCCTCTTGATCAAGGACCCTGTGAAAGGGTTTCTTATTGGTCTATTTGGAGGAACATGTTTCAAATAGCCATAATTATTTATGAGATCCTTAAGGAACTATATGTTCGAGCTTATTGCAGGAAAATTAGCCTTTCTAAATACTAATGTACTTCATCTGTTGGAGTTAGTATGGTCTTGCAAGGGGGAGTTTTGAATGATAGAGGACTAAAGGGAAGAAAAGAAACAATCCTTGCTGAGAAGTCTTCTTATGGTATGGTGCTCAGTTTATACCTTAGTGTTTAATGTCAGTCGTACTGATATCTGTTAAATGGAATCTTCTCTTTGGATGCTTAAGGATGGATGCTGACTTTGTAATGTCAGACAGGATATATCTCTCTTCATATGGAGAAGGGGTCTGATGTCTTCCAAGCTTGGATGACATCTTGGCTAACCAAAGAGATAAGAGAATGTGTATGTCTCTTTCGAGGATGTAAGCATTTTTGATTTGATTAGATTTATTCTCAAAGAACAAGGTTGTCTATGACTGTAAGATTCAAGATGGATTTGTACAGTGTATGGATATGTTCAGGGATAGAGTGATCAATGGTGTTATTTGGTCTCCATCCAAGAGTTTATTATTTATGTTAGAAGGACTATAATCATGGTATCTTCTCACTTATGAGCATGAAGATGTTCATGTGATTCTTGTGAGGTTATGATGTCATACTTGATGTCTTAACATTGTGGTGTGTTGATTCTTTAGCTCTGTGTGTTCTGCTCGTGAGTTTGAATTGTTAAGGCTATTGAATTATCTCAAATATGTTCGTGATTCTTAGGAGAGACATGAGAAATAAGATTGGATATTTTCTGGGAGAATTTACTTTACTCTACAGATTAGGATAAGTTTCATGGGGATGTCACACATAATGTTTTGACATCATGGTCAGGCTTTTCTAATTCTGGATGAAAGGAGGATGCTTGGAGTTCATTGGAAGGCATTGTGACTATGCGTCAAAATTTACAAGAGAGATAGACAGGGACTGACTAGGTGTCAAGACATTGTTTAGGATGCATGGCTCTATGTGGATGGTGTTACTTGGACGGTGAAAATGTGCGTTAAAGAAGGCGTGCAAAACATGTTTCCTTGGTACATGCATAGTCTTTGGACGAGTTTCGTTAAAGAAGAAACAATCAAAATTGAGTTGGTCGGTGCACACTCATTTATGCTGAAGTTACCTTACTCAATTTACTCTTTCATTGAATTGTCTTTCGGTTATTTCAGTGGGTCGTTAATTCATAAGGAAACTGTTCGGGTATTTAAAGGGGGTTCTTGCTTCCTTTGTCTCAAGTTGTGTTTCTTTGTATGTGTCGATTATTTTATGGCTTTGGTCTAGGTTTGGGTGAGTACTATTTAGGTATGGAACTGTTTTGAACATCTTTGTCAATTTTTAGCTAAAAAGGGGGAGATAAGTTGTGTGTCTATCTCATTTGTGTGTTGTTCCTTGCAACACATGATTGATCTCATTGTTTTGCAAGGATGTTGGATAGGATGCTCTAACATCCTGTATGTGTCTCAGTTCCTTTTGTTCTGAGTCTTCTTTTTGTGTCTTGTGATTTGAGTTATGAACACAATCGTATCTTGTGTTCTGAGTTATTTGGAACTGGGGTCTGCCTCTCTAAGCCTTGATCTGGATAATGGAGGGTGGTAAATTAGGATTTGTTTTGAGGGGGAGTGTCGTGTATCTTCTTCCTCATGTATACTAGGGTTCATGGTATACGTCGTACAATAGGTGGTATATGATGTACAGGAAGAATGAAAGCTTTCAGGAGTCTTGCTATAGGCTGACTGAAATGACTTCAGAACTTTCTACTCCTTCTATTCCTTGATTTCCTAGGTTTATTGTGCAAAAGGAGTGTTAGCCAAAATTTGTCAAAAGGGGGAGATTGAAGGCTCTAAGATTTGACCAAATTTTGGTAAAACATGATGTTGAACAAGATGTTCTATCATGAAGTAATTTGTAAAGAACAACATGTCAAACAAGATGTCCTATCTTTATATAGTCACCAGAGGTTGTGACTGTTAGATCACTTATGTGATTTATGAATTGAGATGGATTTCTCTTATCTAGATGAGTTTCTAGGTAGATGTTGCACTAGATAGGGATTAAGTGAGGAGTTATAAACCGGAGGTTGTTTAGCTCTGAATTAATACTACTAACAGTGAATTCATTCTTGGCTTGGTAGCCCCCAGATGTGGGTGTTGTTGTTCACCGAACTGGGTTATCACATCTTGGTGTTATTTATCTTTTTGTTGTATATTTCAGTTATTCTTATACTCTCAAATATATGTTCTAACAGATGTTAAAACATCTGTCATGACACTGTTATAACTTTGAGATATCAGAATGTTCTTGTTCTGTTCTTGTTTAGTTAAGTAGAGATCAATGTCTTGACATCTCTTAGGACATTTGAGATCTGCATACCAAAATTTCAGATTCAATTATGTTGCCTTTATATTTTGTTGCATTATACTTTAGGTATCTATTTGATATGCCTATAATGAAACCAAATATATATATATATATATATATATATATATATATATATATATATATATATATATATATATATATATATATATATATATATATATATATATATATATATATATATATATATATATCACAGTTGCATTCACATATATGATATTTCTGAGGCTATTCAATTTGTTGCCATTATACTTTGTGGCATTGTACCTTAGGTAGCTAGTTGTCTGCTTGATATGTCTGATGAAATTAAAATCTAAGGCCAATTATGTTGTCTTGTGAATTATGTTGCCTAATTTTGCTGCCTTATGATTTAATTGTGCCTATGATGAAATTAAATTTTGAGGCCAATTCTGAATTGTTTCCTAAGTTGTTTGCAACTCTTTTTGATCAAATAGGTATAAGATGATCTTCATCAAATGGGTATATCAGTTCTTGTATCCAATTCTTAATCAAGTAAGTGCCTATCAACAAGAGTTATCAACCAACTTAAACTCCCTCTTCCAATTGTATCAAAATACTTATGGAATCAATGATGCCCCTGTATCTAAAACTCCTGAAGTAGGATCTAGTTTTGCTTCTGGGTTGGGAAGGAAGAATTTTGAGATGTTTTTAGAAACTGTTGTGGATAATAGTAATTCAAAAACTGATTTTGAAATGTATTTTGATGTGTCTCCCTTGAAAGTTCCCCCTAAAGCTAAGTTTGATGTTTTAACATTGTGAATGGGAAATGAAGCAAAGCCTCGTGTTCATAGTAAATTGGCAAAGGATATCCTAATTGTTCCAGTTTTGTTGCTTCATAAGCAACTTTTAGTGTTGGAAAAAGGGTTATTGATCTGAAACAATCATATATGAAAACTAAGAGAATTGAGATGGTAGTTTGTGGGGGTGATTAGGTGAAGAAGATGTATGAAATTAATAAGGGTTGCACTGATGTAAGTAAGTTTTCTGCGTTTCTATTTTTTGCCTAATATGTTTTTCATTTTTCTAACTTTTTTGCAACTCTAATTTTATGCATTTACATATGTAGTTTGAAGTACCACAAGACGAACCTTTGACATATCATTTTAGTAAAGATTCGGATGTCGTTTCAACAATTGCAACTTAAAGATTTTATTTTGCATTATGACAATGATGGGATTATTCTGAGGCATCAAAAATGTAATTTTCTTAGCAATTTTTTGAGAAATGAAGTTTGTGTTATGTTTACCCACTTTTTTTATCACTTATGCTGTTAGAATTGAACAAAAATGTAATTTTCTTAGCAATTTTTTGAGAATTGAAAACTTTGTGTTATGTTTATGCACTTTTTATCACTTATGCTGTTAGAATTGAACAAATACTTAATTATGTTAATGCACTTTAAAATTTGTATTTTGCATTATGACAATGATGGAATTGTTTTGATGTCACTTTTTTGAGAATTGAAGTTTTTTTATATTATGTTTATACACTTTTTATCACTTATACTTAATTATGTTTATAAACTTTGTGTTATATTTATGCCCTTTTGAGAATTGAATACTTATTTATGTCCTTTTGAGATTTGAATACTTAATCTGAAAATTGAATACTTTTGAGATCCAGTTTCAAACCGGTCCCAAAAAAAAATCATCCTTACTTCAGTCCAATCTCGATTTACTTGAAAGTACCGGTCATGTTACAGTCCAAAAAAACAGACAATCACTATTTCGGTCCAGTCTCAGTTTACCCGATTACTATTTCGGTCCACTTCTCAGAAGAGTACATATGCGGACCGGACCGGACCGGAAACAGCCATAACTGGGGCCATCTAACATAATTACCAAACAAATCTAAACCACCAGTATGACCAAATCAATCCAAAACCAAACTAGCAAGAACATGTTCATACGGTTAATGTATGAACAAGACTAGAAAAAGCACTGGGTTCAACTCATAACACAATATACAGACCCACCAAACATGTGAAAATTGTCACTCAACAAACAGAAACATGAAACGAGTCTAGTGGTTACACAACAAAACAGTGACAAAACATCCACCAAAAATTTTCCAAAATATTTCATATTATCTCCCTATTTGATGTGATCAAATCTAATCTATCAAAATAAATATTATTGAAATAATTACTTCCCCATGAAATCCCGCATTTTATGCATGTTCTAACACCACATGAATGAATACAAAATTTCACCACAAGAATTAGAAGATCTGTTTCACCCAAAAGGGGAAACAAGCCAAGATTACAAACTAATCTATAATCTGATGATTGTAACAGTTACATAATTCTAAGTTCATTTCATTTAGGTTTAGGAATAGTTTGTTTTTTTTACATATCTCATTATCTGGTACCATATTGAATAACTAGGTCTGAGTATCTTTTTTTTATACAAAACAAGGTATCATGTAATTTCGCTACCAGACTTAAAACTAATTATCAAGCTTCATCAAATCTGCTATCATTGGCTTTGCGTTGCAATTCACCCTCTATGTCTTTGAGAATGTCTAGGATACCAAGAATACCCAAAAGGGCTAGTCCACCTGAAAAATTACCGCCACCACCGCCTCCATTACCACCGTTGCCATCATCGTCGCGAGGTGGTAATCCAGGCCCATTGTCATCAAGTCTAGGGCTCTTCACTTTCTCTGTCATTTCAGAAAAATGATAGCAAATTATATTTGTATAACAAAGACATGGAACTTATAATTATTCATAATATACTCAAAGAATAAAAGAAATGAAGGGGAAAATAACATTTGCAAGTACATAATGCCACAACTAATGTGTCTAAAAGTTTAATGAATAGAGCTGATTAGGATTTCAATAGCATCCATGTACTCTGGCATTCGGCCAAATACTAAGATATACTGTATTATTTATTTAGAAAAGTCAAGTTACGTGATTTGTGTAAGCTGTTTCTGTACAAAATAGCACTGATTGACTTTTATATATGTGGGGGAAAGCAGAGTAAGAGAAGTTCTCTTCCAAAAAAACCAAAATATGCTTGAGTATATAAAATGTACCCTCCATAAGAAACCCTCAAACAAACAAACAAACACAGACGGTAAATTTAGGCCAACAAAACTGCGCCAAAACCATCCAAGGAAACAGACTCTATCTTCTTTTGCTCAATAGTATTCCATTGAATCAAGGATATTGTATATGTCACACCAATCACTTGGATGCATGATTATAAAGAAAAACATGCAACAAAACTGTTTTTTATGCACTTCAAAGGACTGATATTTGAAAAGAAACATAGATTTGAGTGTGCATAGCTTAATTATACAAGATTCATATGTTTTTAACATTAAAAACCTACACTTCCATACTGATTTAGTTATTTTAACAAAGACACACTAATGTATGGGAGAAGAAGAATGAAGAATAAAATTTATTGACTATGGAATATGGATAAGGCTTCATGTTTTAGCTGACCCCACTTAGTGGAATAAGGCTTGGTTGTTGATGTTGTTGCAAACATTGACTATTGAATATGCACATGATGACTAGAATGAAAAATGGAAGAGGCCAACATGGTGGAAGGTGTTATATTGCTCCAGTTTGTCCCAGCCAGTTTATCCCAGTGTAAGACAAACAATGGTATTTAGCGATCTAAGCACAATCTATAGTTTAACTAACAATTATTTTTGGAATAAGTTCTTTGAGTTGGAGTTATTACCAGGAGTAACCGTAATTGTCCGAGCATCGCGGGTTACAGTTTGGGTTGCACCAGCAGCATAGCATGTAACATTCTGCAGAAAGGCAACACCATATACAAGACATCAGTTTTCTGTTATTATAAATGATTCACAAATAAAATACAAACTCTCCATGATTTGGACAGTAAGGAAGGACAGAATATCATCAGTGTTAACTTCCATATCCATCCTAAAAGAACTGCCTAAAGAAAAATCAATAGAACATGCAGGGAATCATTCAATAGTCAACACAAAACATAAAACTTTTCTACTTTAAAATAATAACTCAACTTGATGAGCCCTTGAGCAGGTGTACATGAGAAGGGGAAGAGGGGAAAATAGTCAACTCAAGAGTGAAGGGCCTAATGAGAAGCTGCATAAGTAGGAGAGTATGAAGGCGGGGGGTACAAGAGACAATGAAGAAATTGGAACTAGGAAGAGATTAAAGTGGAGGATTCAGATAGAATAGAAGAGAAACAGAGTAAACAAGTTTGCAGCACGTGACTGGAGAGGATCTAGATAACGAAGTAATAGGATTCAACAGAAATCAAAAGAAAAGAACAAGAATTGAATGAACAAATGATTTACTTTTGAGATAGCCTTCTAGAGTCCGCCACATAATCTCTCAAATTTGAATTACAATTTACAATAATGACAATCTCCCACTTTTCACTCTACCTCCCATTTATTTAGATGTACAGTAAGATAGATACATATTGTCAGCTCATCAAGCGTTAGTTACATTTATGTATGGATATTCCCTCCCTTTGTAGCACCGACACTTCTGAAAAAAGGGTGTGTCCGTGTCACTGGCGGTGTCCGAAACCGACACCTACACTTGTGATTGCGTTTAATTTATTCATTTTTTTTCAAATTATCACCAGTGTCGACGTATCGGTGTTGGTGTTGTGCAAGGTTGTCAAGATCGAGAGGGTATACTAAGATTGTGAAGCATAAAATCGTAACTAAGATCGGAAGATTTTACTCAATTATTTTTGTAAAATCGAGAGGGGTAGCAAGATCGTAAAACATAAAATCATAACAAAAAAGTAAGATACTACTTAAACGAAAAATAATGCTATATATTTGAAGCGTTTTTACATGACATTTTGGTAGACAAGTGTATTTGTGGGAAAATGACCAACGCCAAACCGTAATTGTTGCTTTTTCACAATTTGGCAATAATACAAGATTCTACTTCAGATCTAGATTGTTCGGGGCGAGTGAGATCGCAAAATCGTAAGATTTTATGATCTAGATCAAGATTTTGACAACCTTGGTGCCATGTTTTCAGTGTCCGTGCTTCATAGTTCCCTTCTATTCCTCCTAACATAGACCTTTTGCACTAAAGGTTTCTTATTAGAAACAGATCTGGATGATTAGGTGTCCAGAAACATAATTTTCGGTCAAGTCTGGTGGCCATTGACCACTGGCCTTGGTTGCAGACTGACTGCTTGTAGCAGTCTCTAGTCTCCTAAATACCATTCTTTATGGGGGGTTTTAAATCTATTTTCCTACTTCATCCATGTTTTCAATCAGGTTTTCTTCTATCGTAAGGAGTTGAGATCCCTTTGCAAGATAAATAATATTCATCAATTATTAGTTTTCTTTGGGACTTTACCATCTTTTCAAAACGAACCAGTATTATCAATCCAAGATAGTGGAGCGGTGCAGCCAACCTCAAAAATGGGATAGCGGAATAGTGAATAGCGGGATAACTGCTATTTTACTATTTTTTAGACTAATTATATGAATAATCTATAAAACATATATTTAATGTAAGAGGAAAAGAAGACTTAAAAGAAAACAGAATTGTAAAGAAAAGAAATAAGAAAGAAGAGAAAAGATGGAAGAAAGAAGAGAAAACAAAGAAAGAAAGAAGAAAAAAAAGAAATAAGAGAAAAGAAAGAAAGAAGAGGTAAATCTAGGTTTTCGCGTTCAAAGCCGGCTCAGACTGGGAAGCGCTCCGCTCCTGCTGCCCGCTAAACATCAAATAGCGGCCGCTATCTCAAACTGGGAAGCAAACCGCTCCTCCATAACGGAGGGTCACTGCTCTCGGGATGGAGCCGCTATCGTCCCCTATCAATAACTATGAAAATAACTCATTTTATATTGCAATACCACAAAACGCTGTTCACCCTTTCCAACAAGGAAAACATATAGCATAACAAAAGCAAACAACCAACAGCTTATAACAAATGCCAAAAGAAAAACCTTACCATAGCAGCACCACATTTGAATCGAGATGATGAACTTTGAAAAGTTGCAGTCCGAAGTTTTCCTTTTGCAATTCTATATGGTAAGGGCTGCATCCCAACTATGTTTGGTCTAAAATGCTGAATCCGTCCTTGAGTCTGACTTGTACAGCTAGCTGCACAGAGAAAACAACAACAAAAAAATATCCATGAATATTTATGTAACTTCAAACATGACTTTCAAAACCTAATAGTTCTAAAGCTAGATCATCTACTGAGATGTAAAGAACCATCGTACCTTGCAATAATAGAGGTGAAGAGACAACACAACTTTGCATTGATGTCAACATCTTTGTTATGACCAAATGTTAACAACCCTAGCTGTTAGCATAACAAAGCAAAAAATAAATTATGAGTTTCAAATACAATATACATATGACAAATTGATAATTCATTTTTCAACATAGGGCGCAATCACACAATCATATAAGGGTGCAATTGCATAATAGCGAACAAATTAGGGCGCAATAGCATAATCGCAACGAATTTAGGGTGCAATAGCAGCCAATTTAGAGAATAATTCACTTTAGGGCAAAATCGCAGCCACTTTAGGGCGCAATCGCGAATTCGCGGCAAGAGGACTCTTTGAGATTTTCAGAGGCGGTTGCCGCAAATCGCATCCTCGTGCGGTACAAAAGAAGAGAAGGGAAATTCTAAATATTCAAATTTTAAAGGAAAAAAGGACGGAATTTCTCACTGTTTCTAACGTCCGACGGCCAACTCCGCCTGTGATTTCCGGCAAATTTTCAAGGGTGTGTTGCGTTTAGAGCAAATTTTCAAGGGTGTGTTGCGTTTAGAGCGACTCTATCTATGTTGGAAATGAATTTTTATTCTGTATTTGGTGAATGATGATCGTGGTGATGATGGGGCCTCTTCTAAAAGAAGTGGATTGATGAGGGTTCTCTACATTTTTTATTTCGCACCCTTAGGCATATACCTCACACCCTTATATTTTAAATAATTTAATTTTTATTTCTTTTATAATTTATCTTTTTTAAATTTTTATATTTTTTTAAAAAAATATTGTTTTTAAAACCTATTAAAAACTAAAAATTCGATATACCTAACAAATTTGCAGTAGAAAGTTCTATATGATCATTACGATTAAAAAACAATTTTCTTGCATATTTCAAATATGTGCATAAGTGTAGTAGTATTTGCATGTATTTTTTATAAAATACAGTTTATCCTACATTTCTTTAAAATGATATATATTTTAGGTTGATGCTTAATAAGGATCAACAAGCCAATAGTCATAAATATTTATTAGGAAACTTTTTCATACACTTGCAAAGTTAATCATTTACTAGGTTTACAAGACATATATACTTGTCACAATTTTTTTTTTGTATTTTTTCATGACTATGTTGAAGATATGTTTGATTTGGAGGCAAATCTAAATTGTGGTTTTCGTGTTATTGGAGATTTGTTTGGTGGGGTGAAGAGTTTTTGTCATTGGATCGGACACAATTAGACAATGAAGTTTTAAATAACAATCTTGTTTTTTCTATGATATTTGGGTCGAACTCTAATCTCAACATAGATAGCTTCGTGGTTTGATAAAGTTGTGCATGTTTGTAGTTGAAGTATGTTCAAGCGTGCAGGTGTCAATGGTGTGCATGTTGTATTCAAAACTTACTCTACACGTTAAACTGGACCAGTTTGTTATCCTAATTATTTAAGTTAGCTTATTGCTTAAGTTATCTTAGTAGTCTATAAATATAATTTTACTCTTAGGTTGTTAAGAGAGAGTTTTAGTTGTTAATATTCACTTGTAATCATTGAATCCTAATAGAGAAAGTTGTTAGACGATGGCGCAGATCTAGAAGGGGGGTTGAATAGATCACTTGTTAAAAACAGGCGCTACCAATATTTGGTTTTAAAAAGTTTTTAAGCGGAAGTGGCCGATGAACTATATTCGTCTAAAAAGAACTTTTACCGAAAAAACCGGATATTCGCAAAGTCTATAGAATCCGATAAAAACGAGATTTAAGAATCACTAATTTGAACACAGATCAATCGGAATTTATTCACTATAAGGTTTGACTATTTCCAATGCTTGAAAATATAATCAAATTAAAAAGACAACACAAGCGTTTGTTGTTCACAAAATTTGTCAAACACTTGGTGTGCAAGGCACCACAAGTGAATTCCAATATGAGAGTGAAGTTCTTAAGTGTTCAATTACAATCAAGGATTGTAATAGGCTTCAAAAATGGTTCAACACTACTCACATCAGAATTTTGATTAACTCAATTATTTGCGCACAAACTTAGAAATTAAGCAATTGAAAAGTAAAGAGAGAACACCAATTTGTTGAGGTAGTTCCCCCGTCGTCCTCGCTTGGGATACATCTGCCCTCAATTTGAAAAATAGAATTAAGACTTGTATATAGATATAACCTGTTGGTAAATGTTTACAAGAGAAGCAATAGAAATCAAACGATCGAACACAATTGTTGATGTAGAGCCTATTCATTCTCTTCCCTTAATTCAAGCTGAATCAAGTCCTTCGAACGCAATGAACAAACCCCTGATTATGACACACCCTTTGAACAACCCCACGGTCTTCAAATCTTACCCGGCTGATTTCAATCACCAACGCTTTGAACCCGAATCTTCCTCTCATAATCCTCTGGTTACCGCTACTAAACCGATAGAATAACCCGTTCTTCGATTACCTTCGCTCGGTTGAATCTATGATGGATCGATTCGTGCAAAACCCCCCCAAAATCCAAGATTCTTGGAGGACAAAACCCTAACGGTTTTATTCAAGAAAAACCTATTGATTTCTCAACCCAAACCCGATTACATCAATCCTATGTTTGGACGTTATCACCTCTAACAAGTAGAATGAACAACAAAAATGATTATGTGTAGTTGTTGAGAAAATGTAAGGAAGAGGATGAAGATGATGAGAACAATTAGTATCTATTTTCACTTTTCTTGTTATTTTGAAGAAAGAGCAAAAATCATTATATATGCAAGTCAAAAATAATTAACCAACATAACAACCACAAAGATAGTTTCACATAACAGATTTTTAACTGAAAACGCGCGAGAGGTCGACCTATGCAGAAAGGAGGGTCGACCTGAGCTTACCCGAATTTTAGATTGTGCAGAAAACAGAACTTTGCATCAACCAGAGCAGGTCATGCATCGACGTACAACATGCAGAATTAGACAAATAGAAATGGACACAGTATGAGTGGACAGGAAGGTCGACGCGAGCACTCCTGAGAGTAGACCATTCAACATGCTGATCGCGACTTTCTATGTCTAATACAACCTAACTGCAAGTGCACAGTCTATCGCGTAGTAATAATAGATATCGATCCCACAGGGACTCGTAATCAAACTAGTGTTCTCGGGAGTTACTATGTTTAGCTAGGTAGATAATGTTTGAGGGAATAAGATTGTCACTAAAGGGAACTAAGAATGTTAATTAAAGTATAATTAATTAAATCGATATGCAGTAATTATGTTCTTCAGGGATTTGACAAGTTACCAGTCTACGAAATATTTTTCAGAGTTTATTTAAGCAGAAAATGGTGATCTGAAGACTCTCGCCTCACGATGGTTATTGACGCTAATCATAATTCTAAGGGCCAAACGTACGCTTTCGTGTCCCATTCGGGGTTAAAATTATTTTTTGGAAATCTCTAAGTTCTAATTCATTTTAAAGTGCTTTCGCTGTTATTAAAATGAATGACTAGTGTTTACTATCTGGTCTTGCCGCAGCTTTCGCTTGTTGGTTCGTACCTTAATTAATTTCCTACTTTCGTGGCAAAACTACTTTTAAATAAGTTCTCGCTTTCGCGACGAAGTTTATTCAGTAAATTAATTTTAAACACTCAGACCATAAACAACTTTTGAAAAAGACAGTTTTCAACTGGTTATTATCAAATCCCTTTCGAATTATTACTACATATCGATTACTTAAATTTAGCTAGACATGGATTTGGGAAAGGTAAAACATAAATGAAAACGATAAATAACAGCATGCAACATAATAAAAACTGGAACTACGATTGAAATGAGAAACCTGTAAATATTCCAATTGACCTTTGGGCAAATCCTCCACAAATGTTGGCAGGATTCTAGTCTTTGTGCCAATTTGATCATACAACGGAAATAAAAATTACAGAAGGAATGAAAGGCAACAAAAAAATAGGAAAGAAAATAAAACTGAACTTTTGCTCTGGAAATTGAATTGGGCAGCACTTCGTTGTATGAATGCGGCTCCCCTTCTGAGTTCCCCTTCTTCCCCTTTTATAGAAATGGAATTCTAACGGTTATAACTTGAAGAAGGTGGACTTTGAGGCAGAATTATCAAGGAGTAGTGGTCCACTATTTGGGACTTGGAACTGCTTCTTTCACGTGCATTTGAAGTGGGGCGTTTTTGCCTGCATGACGGTCGTCACAAGGTGTAACGGTCGTCAGCCGTGTGACGGTCGTCATAGAGCTGTGACGGTCGTCACAACAGCAAAATCAGCATTCTGCGTTTTTCATGATGTTTTCATCCGGTTTTCGTCCATATTTCATCTGAGATTGCTTCTTTTCTTCATATTGCCTTGTTTAGACATGATCATCAAATACTTGCAAAACATCAGACAAATAACACGGAAATAACCCGAAATCGGATCGAAAACAGTTAAACTTTAGTTGAATTATGCATCAAAATATATATACGATTTCGTGTCATCAAACTCCCCTAAGCTTGAATCTTTGCTTGTCCTCAAGTAAAACAGGAAAAAGTCGGCAAGCACGAGGCAGCTTCTTCGTTCGCAAAGTCGGGAAAAACCGGGATTCTTAGTAAGAACAAAACGAGTACCATGACGACACTGGACTACAAGTCTTCGGAGGTCTCCTTCTTATGCAAATCGGTCCCAGTCATGCTACTGTAGCTTGGTGTCAAGGTTCTCGCGGCAAGTTCACCCTGTTTGTTCTAGCGCAATCACATTAAGCCCGTTGTCCATACACTTTCATGGCAAGTCGACCTGTTAGTGAATATGATCTCATTTCTGTTTTGATCTTCTTCATTGATCATAAGCTTATATCATTGATTTTTCAATGAGTTTTCGTGCCGTTGGGCTAAATGCTCGGGTGAGGAGCACCTAACTTAGAAGGAAACGTGTCTTTATATTTTTGGCTATCTAGCTTTCTTTTCATGATTTTTCATCTTTTTGGAGATCATACACTTATTTGCATCGGTCGCTCGCTTAGAAGTGTTTTAGGATGGTGTTGACTGCTAGTATAAACTACTTGGGGTTGGGTTTGCGTAGACACTT